GTCTGAAGCTTAATGAAGGCCCTAAATCTCTTCTGTCATTTGCAGCTAACTGGAGCCTAAGCAGCCAGAGAAAAGGGGATAAGTGCCTGGGAGCCATCCTCATAAGGAAAAGAAAACATCCGTCAAACAACAACCACGGCAGAACAGCCTCAGTGTCAGCACTTGATGTCCATTCAAAATAAATACAGCAGGGAGACACATTTTCACAAGATGGGGGCAAGAATGTTTTCCATGGATGAAAGACCGCTGGGTTTTTGGATAAAAAGAGACTAAAAAAAATGCAAAGTAGAGAATGAGGTCTGTTCTGTTGCCCGTTTGTCCCGCTTTGTTGCTTAAAATAGCTCTGATTAAGACCACACTTTGCTACAACGTCAGCAAATCACGCAGACTACATAACCAGGTATGAGCTCATATCCTGTCTGGGGCACTTTTTCTATAGCAGTGTAAAAGAGGGGAGGATAAAAGCAGATGGAGAGAGAAAGAGAGACTGTGGTTGTAAACCGCAGACACTAGGATGCTTACCGACCACCCTGATCAGCTTACTTAATTAGAATAGTTTTTTTAAAGGCCCAAACATTCATCACCTTGAATTTACTTTAATATCCAAGTTTTGCTTAACTTATAAGGCTACTAGATGCAATCAGCTGTATCTATAAAGATGTCATACGCAGCCTAAAGAATGTAGAGAAAATATGAAACTATGACTTCTGGGGAATGCCCAAGGGCACGAAATGTGATCCACCACACAAGTGGAGAGGAAAGACAAGGACGACAAACACAGTAGCCTTGAAGATCGAGCAATATTACGAGAGCAAAGAGAGTAACAGAAAGTCGGGGGATGAAAAGAGAAGCAGTGAAGGGTAAAGATGTGACAGAAGCAGGACACATCTGATTTTCAGAACACAAGGATTACAAAAAAAGGGGGGGGGAGACTAAGCTAATAAAAGAAGAATAAATATGGAAATGGAGCACGGGGAACAGATCTAAGGACAGACACAAGCTGAGGGTGAAGAGGAAATAAATACATGAAGGGTTATTATCTATAGCGTCCAAAACAATAAATCTGTCATCCTGTGGCTTCGTGACCACCCATCAGCCTCCAGACCTCCACTACTAACCCTGCATAAAAACATAAATACACACAGGTCTAGTGTAAGTTGGAGAGGCTAAGGACCACCTGAAACATCCTGGAAAAAAACAAAGATGCAACAGAGCAGCCTATTGACTGATGATGATGTCAGTTAGAGGGGATATCCCTAGTATGGTCCTTTCAGTCACACAGGCTCGGCCTTGTGAGTACAGGAGGAAAAACAAAGGAAGAAAGGAAGAAAGAAAAAAAGAAACAAGGGGGAAAAAGCACCAAGGTTAAATTATGTGAAAAAGAATTGGAATAACAATTTTGGAAAAAATCTCAGGAAATAGCTGTTTGGAATGGAAAAGTGAATGGAGGCAAAAAGAGGTGGTGAGTTTCTGAGTTTTGGAAACAGGATGAGGGAAGGGAGGGAAGGGAGGGAACAGAAAAAGTAAAGAATAGTCGAGGGCAAATTAATGGACAACGAATAAGGAGGAGAGTGTAAGGAAAAAGGGGTTTAAGGAGATTCTTAGTAAAGAGGCTGAAGTCTTCTTTGAAACTCTGTGTTAGTCTTTTTATTTGCTTTAATATAGCTATTTTAATGTTTCCTGCTTAAAAAGACAACAACACCACACAATTACATCATTTTTTAAGCACCATGCATATGCGAGTCATAACTCCTGCAGGCCCGTGCTGGAAGCAGTTATGTGGGGGCACAAAGGAGGGATGACAAGTGATTGAACAAAGTTTAAAGCTGGAGTCTTTAATTCAGAAAGAATTCGTATGTGGAGGATCTCCACAGAAAAGATTAAGAAAGAGCGAGGGGGTTTCGAAATGTGGAGTGTGCCATTAATCATGCAACCCTGAAACACTTTGCCTGTAGAAACCAAAACAGAAGCAGCAGGTTGAAGTTAAAAAAAACAAGTGCTTGATTGTCGCTTTGCTGTGGGAAATCTTTGATGTTTCTTCACAAGTTTTTACATGGCCGTCCATAGATTGGTCTGCGTACACCTAGATTAAATGACAGTAAAAAATACTCCGCTGAAACCAAATGACTGCTATAATATTCTTTTACATTAACAGCGGATCATACTGTATGACTACAGTATCCACTTGTGTAAATCCCAACCTTTCAGTTCCCCTCTGCAGCTTTTCGACATTATTCTGCTAATTGTTCAAGAAATCAAGAAACTTCTGCAAAAGAACTACCAACCATTAGTGAGCAAACAACTTTACTCAAATAACTTTTGTTTTGCAACTTGTGAAAGTAAAAAAGGAACTACAGAGAAGCAGTGTGACATTTCTGTGTTGACAGGTTGTTTCTGCTGCTCCTAGGTGGTCAACCAATCAAATGTTATAAGTTTAAAAAAGCTGTAATAAAAGACCTTTGATGGAAATTGGAGTAAACTGGTGAAAGCGGTTTATTAAAACATGTGCAGACAAGCATGGAAATATAGTACATAACTCAAAAGCTGAGATTGTTCAGTTCTAACAAGACTGAAAGTCAATATTTGGTATGACCACCTTTATTCTTTAATGCAACCTGAACTCTTAGGCAGGATTTCTTCTCATTTCTTTAAGTAGTCATCAGGAATAGTTCCCCAGGCGTCTTGAATGAGGGCTCTGGAGGCCAATCCATGACTGATAGTGGTTCATTGAGTGTTTTTGCTATGTCAGGATTATGTTTGGGATCATTGCTGAAACATTAAGCAGTTCCCAATCACATGCTTTACAGATGGTATTGCATGGTGGATCAAAATTGGACAGTACTTTTCTGCATTCACAATTCCATCAATTTTCAAATGCAGCCCTAAACAATGACAGATGATATTTAACTGTTGTATTTAGTTTTTAGGCCACCTCTTTTTCTTTTTTCTTTTTAAATGTTCAGGTACAAGGACTGGACTGCAAATGAGTGAAAAAGCAGCCAGTGTCCAAAGACAAACTGTAAAAAGACCTTCAGAAAACCTGGAGAACGACTGCTCTTAAAAAACATAAAAGACAGTCTTCTTCTTGTAACCAAAATATAAAGAAATGAGGAGTGGCTCAAGACTTTAGCACAGTACTATATAGTGCTTTTCTTCACTCACTGGCCAGTCAAAGCACTTTTCACTTACACAAGCCTTTATAGTATACGTAGTGTTCATTTTACAATGAACTTTAAGTGCTTTATCTATTTCAAATCAACAATGATGGTCATTTAAAAATTGAGAATTAACAGTTACACTAACAAACAAATCTTTTGACCGTGAAAGGAAACTGGAGGACCCACAAGCAAACATGAAAACGACTAGCAGAGTATAAATTCTTCATCATCAACTCGCTGTACAACTAACAAACACCTCACAGTTTACTTCTA